AAAAAAAAAAACTTCAAATATCACATCCTCTATTTCATTCAACACTCTTGAAGTCACCCAGTTCATTCCAAACATCAAAGCAGCCTCCATCCTCCTTCCTCATGGTTTAGAATCAAGCTCTAATTTAACGTGGCCTCACACCTCAACAGTCCCATTTTTCTTTAGAACAAGCAAGGAAGCCAATGAAAGATACAGGCAAGCTGTAGTCTAAAAGCCAATAATGTTGCATTTAATAACTAGCTGGAAGATAATTGGTCTAGCATGCTTCTATAGACTTTAAAATCTTATCCTCTACTCTCAATTCCCACAAGTAAATTGTACTTTATCCTTAAAGCAATTAAGGACGTCTGTGATCACGCCGAAGATGTAATCAACAAACCACACGCAGTATTAAGCCATCTGTTCTGTTGCTTCCACTCTGATGGAAGTTTTTCTAACTTTCAACTTTTCGAACATCCCCAGTTTAGTAATAAACTTCTTAGTTTATTATAAGCTCCTAAACTATAGGCTAGGATTTAAACCTAAGCAACTGAGAGTCTTGCAGAACTCCTACTAGCAGCTATCTCCCTGAAGTAACCAGGATCAAATGAACTCATGGACCAGGAATCATCATGGTCACAGGAGAAACTGAACTGGGAGATGGTGTGCAGAGTCACCAGAGAGCTGCCCACAGCACATCTGCTTCAGCTAGGGGAGACACTGGCATACCTTTACCTTGGACCTGCACACTGCTTCAGCTAGGGGAGACACTGGCATACCTTTACCTTGGACCTGCACACTGAGAAGTTTGTTGTTTAACCACTACGAATGAGTTTTTTGTTACAGCAATCTGGGCTGCTAGCCCAGTCATCCTACAAAGAAGGTTGGCCTGGAGCATCTGGACCCCTCCCTGGTCCTCAGGTCAACTCTGGGAATCTGACCACATACAACATGGTGGTGATAGAAGCAATTTCTTTTTATTCTAGATAAACTTTAAATAAAATAAATCTTCTTATGAAACAGAGACCCAGGCCATTTCTTTCTGTTTATTGTTGAACAAGCAGCGCCTCGGGTTCCGGCCCACTGTGCTCCTCCTCGCTCAGCAGCTCCTCACATTCCTCGCTGAGCTCCTCGGCATCCCCGAGACTGGCTTCCTCCTCGCTGGAGACGAGGTCCAGGTCCTCACTGAGAAGTCCGCCCTGGCCCCAGCTACAGCCTTCACTTGACTCATCTTCACTAACGTCCAGCTCCTCACTGGATATCACATCCAAAACCTCACTGTGCTCGTCACTCAGGGCGTCTTCTACTGACTCCTCAAAACAGGGCTGGTCTAGTTCTTCACTAGGCTCCAAGTCCTCACTGGCCACTTCCTCGAATCCTGGGGAGTAAAATGACTGACTCACTACAGTAAATTTATGGCTCAGAAAATTACCCTCCACACAATCGCCCTCCCCCAAAAAGGTCTCTTTCCAAGGTTCTCCTCACCAAGGGCTTTTCCAGTAGCCTACTCCTTCCTTCCCCAGAGTTGACAAGACTTTGTGAAGAAAGAACATACTAAGTGGTCAAGGGAGAGGAAAGTTCCTCTGCCAACAACGACAAAGGCAGTTTGGACGTTCTAAAGTGAGAATGAAAATAAAATGTGGCGTGCAACCCATAGTTCTCTAAGAGATACTTCCTGCCATGACTAATAAGAATCAAAAGACCACTACGGGGTAACTGTCGGTCTTACACTACCAGGTTTACATAACCAGGACACAAGTAGTGCTGTTCTGGGTTAGTAAAACACATGAAGAGATAGATCATCCTAATTCAAATTAATACACATCCTGTTTCTATCAATATTTCAGGAAAGGCTCATTTGTGGATGAGATCCATAGTCTGGGAAATATAAAGGCCATTCCACATACATCCCCTCCACTACTGAGCTCCTTGTGGACCACTATATAGGCCTCCCTGAAAAAGCAGCTGATCACAGAGAAAGGTGTTTCATCTCCTGCAGGATCCCAAAGCATCTTCCTGCTCTAGGTCTCTAAATCTGAGGACCCCATCACCAGAGTAAGAGACCTGAAAAAGTTGAGTACAGTATAGCTAGCTCAACAGTACCTTACAACCGAACGTAAGGACATTGTGTGATCAATCCCAGCACATGGAAGGCTGACCAGGAATACAGGAACAGCCTGGACTATGCTTTAAAACAAAATCTTAAAAATGACTTTTGGGGAGACAGAAAAGGGAGAGGGATTAGGTCTATAAAACTGAAATAGCCTCAAACTCAGGAACCTTCTGTCTCAGTCTCCCAGTAGCTAAAACAAGCACACTACATTTTACTATATCCAGCGTATTTATAATAGATCTAGAACTACTCTGAAAAACCAAACCCCTCCCCAAAAATATAGGAGGAATATAGAAGTTGGGTGTATAAAACTTTAAAGTAAAAATTAACTGGCTAATATCAACAGACTGTAACTGGGTTTACAAAGACTCTGGATGCTGCTGGCCATGCACTAGGTCCCCAGCCCTGCATGAAGGACCCAGTCTGCACTCCACATACCACCAGCAGGCTGCACCGTCACCTCATACACGTAGTAGCCATGGAGTAGCTTCTTTTCCTGTGCGAAAATCCTTACTGCCTGAAAATGGAAGTCCCCTAGAAGACCTACAAGAACGGATTGAAGAAGTATCACTGCCACACTCGTCAAGGCAATTCAGGAAGGAAGTGCCTACCTGACCAATACCTAAGACAGAACAGACCTCAGCAAGCCTAATACATTCTTGCACTACTGATAAAAACTTCAGCTTATCTAATTAAAAGCTCTACTATATACCTTCAAAATAAAAGAGCTGTCCAAAGGCTGGATGGAGTGTCAGATTCTTTTTCTCAAGGAAAACAATCACGAACCATGTAATTCACTAAAAAGGAACGAGCATGTGGGCATGCTCAAAACTTCTTTTCTGTGACAATGCTAGGAAGAGAATCCAGGGTTCATAAATACTAGGCAAGCATCCACCACTAACATCCACCCAGATGAGATTTGAGTTGTTTTTAGTCCTTTGTTGTTGTTTAAAAGACTTATGTAGTCAGGCATGGTGCTGTTCATCTTTAATACCAGCACCGGGGAGGAAGAGGCAGAGGGGAATCATCTCTGTGAGTTAGAAGTCAGCCTGGTCTACAGGGCAAGTTCCAAGACAGTAACACAGAGAAGTCCTGACTCCAAAAAACAAAAACCCACTATGTAGCCTTGAACGGTCTCAAATTCATGATTTTTCTGCCTCCGTTTCCCAAGTTCTGAATTATAAAAATGTGTACCGCACAACAGGCTTCAATTTTTCTTTATCAAGGAGATGCCTAACCTCCTGAGAAAAAGGAAAGTATGCGTCCTTCATCTTATTAATGGCCAAGCTGCAGAAAACAAGCTGTTCTACTCAGCAAGGACATCAGAACAGACTATCCAACATCATTCTGTCACACCACAAACAAGGTGGAATTTACTAATGGCTAACTTTTTATTGTTGTTTTTGCTCCTTGAGACAGAGTACTGCAAGGCAGGGTAGGCTGCCTTGGAACGCAGTATGCTGTTCAAGAGCTGGTCCTACAGCTGGGCATGATCACATCTAGCTGGTTTTAGTTTTCTTAGAATTACATCTGCACTTCAACATTCAACAAAGGATACAATAATGTTCACTTCTATCCTACTTAAAATTACTCATTGCTTTGTCTGAAGTATGTACAAATACTCAAGCACCAAATTCAGGTCCCGTTTGGTGATAGATGTCTTTACCTGCTGAGCCATATTCATATTATATACTACTAATGGGTTATTCCTTACTCTGTAATTTTAAATGCCCCACAATCTTTGTGTTATTGGCCTCACACTTACTAATTTGTTTGAAGGGAACCTTCTGTATGTTCTATTAAACAATCCCTAACTTCACTCGCAGCAACCTTTCTCCTACTCCTAAGACCTTACTCCTATTTCATTTCAGTTAGAAATGAGCATGCTGACACATTCACTGCTTTCCTTCCCAAGGGAATGCAAGATAGAAAATCAATCAAATGCACGCAGGCACAAACAGGATCACAACATGAAAAGTCTAAAACCTACCAGATCCAGGGTAACTTGTTCCTCTTCACACCCACAACAAGTCATGCTGCAGGGCTCCCACCTGTCTCCCTTCTGGTATTACTGGTAGACAAAATTGTCTTTTTTTCCTCTTGTGGAGTTGCTGATGATGTCCGAGTCTCTTCAGCCACACAGGATGTATTTCCCTCTCAGTGCACCCAGACAAGAGGCAGCAACCGCACGTCCAACCCTGACCTCCCCTGTCAAACACTCAAATAGGTCTCAACAATACAGTACATTGCTAGTAACTGGCAACCAACAAGATATGGAAAAGGCATAGGGTCAGGCATCAAGGCACAAGATGGGAGAATCTATTTCCCACAATCCAACAGCTGCTCACCTAACACCATCTCCTTTAACAACATCACCCTCATCATCCTCCTGTCTTGCTCTAGAGGCAATCCTTCACAACTCCAAAGTTGACTGCAGTAAGTTAGAAAAGGCTATGTTTATGGAGCCTGTGATGCTTACACAAACTAGCTAGCTCGTGGAGTGGTGGTAGCTTAGTGCTAAGAGACATCAGTATATCCAAGGTCCTGGGTTCAAATCCTTAATACCACAAGCAAGAAATAAAATTCTTTAAAAAAAAAAAAAAAAAAAAAAAAAGATGAAACATTTAAGATCAGATTTCCAACATCCTGTCCTGTCCCAAACACGAATTCACTGGAGGGCAAAAACAAATGAACTGAAATTCAACAATACACATGGAAGGGGGAAAAAATACACTAAACTCTTATTGCTGAAGTCACAAATTCAAAAGCTCTGAAAAGACTGGCAGAAAATAACTGATTCCACTGGTCTGTAAAAATAAAGGTTAGTAACATGGCACAGTATTAAGTGCAAAGGGCACACAAGACCTCACCAAGCCAGACAAAAGGATGGCCCGAAGTAGTTACTTACCAAAGAAGTCAAATGAAAACGGGTCTCTTCCACCAAAAAATTCCCTGAAGACGTCATCTGGATTCCGGAATGTGAAGCCAAACTCAAACGGACTGTCGAAATGACTTCCACCTATACAAGCACAGTAAAGTGTTTAGCCTTTGAATTCTGGCATTTCTAAGGAACATTTGTTCGTCAATCGTTGTATGCTTCATGGTCTAAAAGAGAACATATTCCATACATCTGGGATTCTGAACATCACAAGCCCTATTGATGCTAACTGTACTTGCCAAGCATTGACTATATTGAGTGTGCAGGCCTAATTCTTTCCCAGTCTGTCTACAGAACTGCTTCCATCTCCAAAACATGTGAATAAATCATTGTCCATTAATCATAAAGGCTTATGAAAGTCAAAGCCAATAATATGTTTACTCCACCAATTTCTCCATAGGTACAATTTGTGCATATTAGGTCAAAGCTTTTTTTAAAAAAAGATTTATTTGTCAATTGGGTATACGGTGTTCTGTCTGCATGTATCCCTGTAGGCCAGAAAAAGGCACCAGATCTTATTACATAGAGACGGCAGTGAGCCACCATGAGGTTGCTGAATTTGGAAGAGCAGCCAGTGCTCTTAACCACTGAACCATCTCTCCAGCCTCTCCACAGCAAGAATTCTAACTAAGGACCAAGATAAAGCAACTCATCTACTGAGCACCATTTTCATAAGACAGGCAGCTTAAACCTAAATAGGTTCACTGATAAAAACACAGTAAGGTTATCTAATCATAATACATACCTCAACATAAACATCCTAATTTGACAAATGTGTGGAAAGGTCTCACTATGTAAAAGAAGCAGGCTGGCCCTAACCTCTCAAAGCTCCTATCTAAGATAGTCTCTTTTGGTTCAGTTCTTTTCTTCTCTTTTTCCCTTTAAGGAGGCAAAACACAAGGACTATAATCACACACGGTGACCTGAAACCCAAAAGGCAGGCTCTCAATTGACAGGCACTGTGCTGCCTCAGTCTCCCAAGGTGTTGAGATTATAAGCATTTCTCTATGTCTACCCAAATTTACCACTCTCTGGGCTAATCTGTATTGATGATAATACAAGGTACAAACCACATAAACCCAACAAATAAGGACAACTTGGTCAAGACCTATGTCTTCAAAAAGAAAGTCCATTGACATACCTCCTCCTCCACCATTTAATCCTTCTTTGCCGTATTTGTCATAGATGTCCCGCTTTTTAGCTTTAAATTTAAGAGAAAAAAAAGGTTATTATGGGAAAGTTCTTTCAAACCCTTAAAATTCAGTCCGTACTTCTCCCAAGTTTTAAATCTAGGTTCAGAGTTTAATAGAAAAGAGGCAGGAGACTTACTTAACTCTCCTCTCTTTCCTGAAACACTAGTTGGCAAACTTTTAAGTGCTACAAATGCTTGGAGTTGATTTACTACAATACAAATTCCAGGGAGCGTTAAGAGTAGTGTAGAAAGCAAATAAGCACACTCCCTAAGAGGAGACTGTCTGTGCAAGGCACAGGTAGCTCACAGGTGTTGTGCTGGTATCCACACACACCCTGATGCCTTTGCACTCCCAGAGTAGGACAGCAAAAGCACAGCTGCCACTTGTATTCATTTTTTTGTCTTCCCGAAAAGTCTCATTCTACAACAGGGGAAACAAAGTAAGAGCCACCCATTTGTAATAAGAGCCCTTATAAAAACAGTGGCACAAGCTCTGGGGCCCAGGCTCCAGCCACAAGAGCTCAAAAGTCCCAACAGTATTAAGACCAAATTTGTAGGATTTCTGTTATCAGTGTCTTTATAAGTAAAAAAAAATTGATACTTGTGAAGTAGTTTCCTGAACTGCCTTTAAAAGTGAGAAAACAGAGAACACGTCAGAGTACAGAAAATGCAAGGGGTTGTATGCAGTAAGCTGGTGTGGTGAGTTTTACCTCAGGTTCCTTCTAAAAACAGATTTTTAAAGATAGTAACCTATTTGTTGTTTCCTGTGGTTAGTGAATTCGTACCTAACCCTTTCAAGTCAAGTCTCTGCCTTGACTCATGCCAGACCACCTAGCAGGATAGTGCTTAGGATGTGGGCAGTACTTTTCCAGTCTCTGTCCCCAGCCCTTGTAGATGCAAAATCTTTCCTTTAACATAAACACGAACTTGATGGCTGCCCCTAACTGACAGCTAATCAATCCTTCACTTAATTGCAAAACACAACCCTTCTCCTAATTCCTATGCTCTAGATATAAAGAAGGGAATCAAAGTCTAAATGATACAAGTAGTAAAATCCCATTAATAAAGTCCTCCTTCAGTAAAACAATATAGACAAGGTCAAGATGATCAGGAATGGACACAAGAGTTCTTAAACCCAACCTCTCCCTCTCAACTACAGCCCTAGGAAAATCTTCCCACAGCCTATAACTCCCAAGCACCGCTGGTTAACTGCACCAGATGCAAGGCCACAGGAAAATTAAAACCTTTGGAAAAGGGGAGCAATCTAGGTGGGAAAAAGAAATCCTGTGTCTGTGTTCTGCTCTCTGGAAAGGCCTGTCCTTTCAAAGCCCCTCTCAAAGTCAGACTTCTCAAGCTCAGACTTACCATCCGATAACACCTCATATGCCTCAGCTACTTGCTTGAATTTCCGCTCTGCTTCTTCTTTATTTTCAGGATTTTTGTCCGGATGCCATTTAAGTGCCTGTTTCCGATACCTGGAAAGATGAAATGGGTGGATGAGCACACATGAAGTCCATAAAACTTTACTATAATAAGCAGCTGGGTGTGGTAGTGTAGACTGTTAATCCCAGCACTGAGAGGCAAAGTGCAAGAGTCTGTTCTGTGCCTTGAGATCAATTTCATCTACACAGTGAGTTCCAGGCCAGTCACGGCTACACACGGTGAGACACTGTCTCAAAAAAAAGGCAAGGAGAGAGAAAAAAATAGTAAGTCCGGCGGTGATGGTACACATCTTTAATCCCAGCACTTCAGGGAGGGCAGAGACAGGCGGATCCCTGTGAGTTTGAGGCCAACCTGGTCTAGAAGAGCAGTTCCAGGACAGGCTTCAAAGCTACAGAGAAACCCTGTCTCAAAGGAAGAAAACAAACAAAAAAAGGGGGCACACACCCTTAAACCAAGAAAATAGCTTTAGCACTACTAATGACTTTTCAAAAATTGCTAGATGATATTAGCTGGCTATGGCCCATACTGGTTTGACAATTCAAGAATGAATCAATTTATTTCAAAACTTACAAGGTGATAAGGACTTAAATAGTTCAAGAACTGGCTCTGGAGCCTGGGGTGGTATGAGCGAGGCCAGCCTGGTTGATAGACAAAAGGGGGGAGGGGAGATTGAGGAAGAGAATTGGCTCTGGAAAAGAAATTAAAGGACCCACATGTATCTCCTGGATCCAGAATTTGATTGCACTTTACCTTCTAAGCATTCTCTTCACAGGAATTCTTATGAAGAGAGAAGATATTTTAGAATGAATATTTTTGGCACACAAATAGAGTAAAATAATTAATGATTTTGAAAGGAAAATTGAGACTTCAATTAGCAGAAATAGACCCAAAAAAAATTGTGGTACCTTTTACTAATGCTGAAATCACCTCACTATGGGCAGAAAATGAGCTTGCAGTCATCTCCTTGGTAGCAACTTGGAGCAAATATCCCACAAGCAAGAGACTTCAGTTTATAAAAAGAACTGGATCCTGCCTCACACTGTTCAAGGAACACTAACTTCCAGAGTCCCTACATTCTATATTGATCCAAGTAAATCAGGAAAGGCAGGTTTGTGTGTTTTTTGCTTTTTTGTTTTGTTTTGTTTTTGGAGACAGGGTTTTTCTGTGTAGCTTTGGAAACTGTCCTAGAACTCACTCCAACTCAGATCTATCTGCCTGCTCTGCCCACCAAGTGCTGGGATTAAAGGTGTGCGCCACTAACCACCTGGCTGAAAGGTAGGTTTTCTAAGGCAGGAAAAATAAGTGACTCAAAGCTTTTAAGACTCCATTCAAAAGTGAGAATTAGAGTCTCTTAATTGAGTCTCTCAGTATGAAGAGTTGTTTCATAAGTTGAAACCACTGTATTTACTCTACATGATGCATAATCCAACTTTGTAATTTATTCAACTACAAGTAAGCAGAAATAGAAATCATCCATTGTGGAGGCTGTTGAGATGGCTCAGTGGTTAAGAGCACTGGCTGCTCTTCCAGAGAACCCAGGTTCAATTCCCAGTACCCACATGGCAGCTCACAACTGTCTGTAACTCCAGTTCCAGGGAATCCCACACCTTCACATCAATGCATATTTTAAAAAAAAGTTAAATAAACCAAAAAAAGAAAAATAAAAAGTCATCCATTGTATATAACACATAATAGAACCGATAGTGGATCTCCATGATCCTTTAACACAGTAATGATGAAATTGACCACCTATTGGTAGGAAATATGCTAGAAGCTTCAGAAATTCATCTTAAAAAACAAAAATAAAACCATAGGTTTGAGAAAGATTTTTCTATCACTTGGCAACAAGCTAAGGAAATTATAAAACAAATTATAACAAAATGTTACTACAGGAAGTAACCCAAAGGGTACCCAAAGAAGAAATTTGGCAAATGGGCAAATGCATGTTTCAAATTTTTGCAGAGTTTGGAAAATTAAAGTAAGCACCATACCATAGATATGTATATTGAGGATTTCAACAGGCAACTAACTGCTTTATGTTCTGAAAAAGCTGATTCTGTAAGTGTACATTTATTAGAAGTTATGGTCATTATGGGATTACCTGTACAAATTAAGACTAACAATGCTCCTGCAAGTGTATTTAATAAAGTTTTTTGTATATTACACAAAACATATTACAGGTATATTACACGCTCCTACAGGATAAGCAGTTATTGAAAGATGTGACTGTACTTACAAGATATGCTTAATAAACAGAAATGAGTACTAAAGACCCCAGATAGAGATTACATGATGTTTTGCTAATTATAAATTTTTTTTTGTATTAGTAAGAAAAGACAGCTGAGGAGACACTAGTTAGTAGAAAAAAACTGCCAAATTAAATCAGTCTGTATATTATAATGATGTATTAACATCAGAATGGAAACCAGGATGTAATACATTGTGAAAGAGGTTCTCCTTTTGTTTCCACAGGAGAAAAGCTATGGATATCAAGACTGATACAGATTAGATTAAAAACAGGAGAGACCTTTTGACCCTTTGTGATAGTTCAAACAGGAGATCATTCAATTTAAACTAACCTATAGACTAACAAATGGCAGGGCAGGGGAGATAAATGGCTCAGCAGTTAAAAGCACTGTTCTTCCAAAGGTCCTGAGTTCAATTCCCAGCAACCACATAATGGCTCACAACCATCTGTAATAAGATCTGTTTCCTTCTTCTGGCATGCAGAACAATTAAAAACACTAACATATGTCTTTCATTTGATCAGGCACAAAAAAAAATCTTCACTATTAAAAGATAACACAGTCAGGCATGGTGGTACACACCTTTAATCCCAGCACTAAGGAGACAGAGATCTACAAAGGGTGGTAGATCTCTGTGAATTCAAGGCCAGCCTGGTGGACAAAGAGAATTCCAGGACAGATGCCAAAGCTGTTACACAGAGAAAACCTGGGAGGAGGGAGGGAGGGAGGGAGGGAGGGAGCCAAGTGGTGGGGTACTTGGGGAGGCAAAGGCAGGCAGATCTCTGTTGTTTTAAGACCAGTCTGGTCTATAGTGAGTTCCAGGACAGGCTCTAAAGCTACACAGAGAAACTCTGTCTCAAAATAATCAAAAAATTAAAGACGGTCTAGCCTCAGACTACTCCAGCCAGAACTTCAGAAGTCCTGCACAGTCCTATCATACTGAAATTGGGTAACATCTAACTCTCCAAGGACTTGACCATTATGTCAATTTTCTCAGGGTCCCCTTAAAGATGCTTAAAGAAAGGAATTTTAAGAACATGATGCCTACATTTCCAAGAGGTGGGGTGAAGTTTTGGTCATTCGGTGGATTTTGGATGCTTATCAATCATCGTTGAGGGGGTTGGTTGCAAGTTGTTATTGGTCATTCGGGGATTGAGGGGGGGACTAAGCAAAGGAAGTTAGATTCAGGGATGTCTTTCTGAAAAGGAAGAGGAAATATAGAACGAAAAGATAAAGGTAGATTACTGAATCGACTTTTAAACTAAAAAGCAACTAGTCTCAAATATTTTACATTTAAGGTATTTTTGTATAGTGATACAAATTTAAGGTTACTTTTGTTATAACATATTATATATATATATTGTTTAAGATATTGTACTTATATAGCTCATTTAAAAATGTAAAGTTCTAGTCCTTGATAGCTATTATTACAGTCTATTTAGGAGAGTTAAGAATACAGGTCAGTAGTAATCTCTAACAATCAAATTTGTAGCCATATTAGGTATGTTTCCAAGAGCAAACATGTATTTTATATGGATGGTCTTCAAACACTTTAGAGACCTATAGAATATGACATTTAAGGTGTTTTAATAAAATAAGGCTTTTCATTGACAGTGAGTCACATCTGCTCCTGGAAGTACCAATTTACTTCAAAAAAGGATGGTGGACATTGAAGAACCTTCATATTTGAGTTGGCTTTCATTATGGCAAAGTTAGCCACTGGACAAGAAACTGCCCTTGCCTCAACTGCTGAACTGCTGTTCAAATTGTACAAGGAAGACAAAAAAGAAGGTTACTGCTGATCTTTGCCAAGACAAAGTAGGACAGTCCTTCCAAATTCCTACCTCACAGAAAAGTCTGTCAGGTATTCTAGGCCTGTAGGCCCAAGGAGGATATCCCAATGTTGCAGAAGAACACCTTGCATGACTATCCAGGCAGCCAGCTGCTTCTGTCATTTATATAGTTTAGGAAGTTGTTTCCAATGCATTTTCTGTTTACTTGGGTAATATTTTATGCTTCCTGGGTCTCTGATGGGATTAAAGACTAGGTAATTATACCATTTTCTTTGTTGCCAAATTCAGAAAAAAACGTTACGAGAGATGTAGAGTTTATAAGGCCGAGAGAAATAAAAGCTTAAGTTGTTTATCAAAGAAATGCTTTAAGGTCTAAAAAGATATTTTGGGTTGATAATACAAGTCATGGTGGAAAGCAGCTTAGGTATAAAACATTGGATTCAACAAGATGAAATTGATAAGAGCTTTTTCTCCAAATTTGCAAAATACAAATAGACTGAACACTGTGAATGTACTTCTTACTTGATAATTGTTCTTACTGTATATAGTTTTATTTTGTTAATTAAAAACCTTTCCTCTTAAAAGGGGGGGGGGATGTTGCAGAATTTTTGATCACACTGGAGACTATTCTAATAAAAAATCTTGAACTAGGGGAGCAGAGTCAGCCACTAGCCAACTGGAATTAACCATAGAGTAGCCAGAAAGACAGAGACATACACAGGCGGGGAGGGGGCATGAATTTTTCACACTTTTTAATCTGGGAAGTGTGGAGAGCAGGTCAGCTAGTTGATCCTCTGCTGCTTTCTTGCTCTATGAGGTTTTTGCTCCAATATCAGACTCCTGAGTTTTCACTGGTAATAGAATAACTTAGATAAACACATCAATGGTGTGCTACTCTAATTAAATTAATTGATGTGGAAAGACTAGGGACGGCATCATTCCATAGGCAGAAGTTCTAAACTGCAGATAATTCAAACTGAGCACAGTCATCTATACAACAACCATCCATCATAACTGTGGATTCTGCCATGACTTCCGCAATGATGGACTATGAGATTTACATCCTGAAAGAAACTGCTTTCTACCGTTTTTCATCACAAAACCACCAAAAAAAAAAAAAAATCATACCGTATTTTCATCACAAAAATAAACTAGAACAGAGACTCAACTGACAACATACAAACCCTTTGAAACATCATAGATAAGAGTTCAACAGAAACAACAGGCCTGGGTTGGAATTGGGGGTGGGAGCAATGCAATTGCAAAGAAATGCAAATGTTCTTATTTTTACACAGTATGAGTTACTAAGTTTTTCTTCCTCATCCATGCATGTGTGTATGCGTATACATGTATGTAAAATCAACCTAAAAACCATTCACCTCCTTTAAAAAATAATAACCATTCACACAAAAAATAAATCTAATTTTTAAAAGGAAAATTAAAGGTTTAGTGGCTGACACAAGTTACATTACCCAATAACAAATCATGGTACAGAATTATCATTTCAGAAATGAACACTTACGCCTTTTTAATGTCCTCAGGTGAGGCATGTCTCTGCACGCCCAGAACTTCATAGTAATCCACCATGTTTTAACAGATTGTTGGAACAAATCCTGCAAATTAAAAACAAATAAACAAAAAAAAATGAGGTTCATAACACTGTCCAAACACAGTGAAAACTGAAAGAACAGGTAAGAGGTGATTCCTTCTCACCACCTACTGCCCAAGAAAAGAACTTCTGGTAGCCACCCACTAGCCCATATATGTAGGGTAGGACCTTGTCCAGAAACTGTGTTCAAGAAGAATCATTTGCAGCTGGGCGGTGGCAGTCCCTACCTTTAAGGGAGTGTGGTAGAGGCAGGTGAATCTCTTGTGAGGTCAGGACCAGTCTAGTCTACAAAATGAGTTCCAGGACAGCCAGAGCTGTTAAACAGAGAAACCCTATGTGTGGTTGGGGGGCCGGGCCCCCCCCCCAAACACCTTTAATCCCAGTACTTGGGAGGCAGAGGCAATAGGATCTCTCAGTTCAATGCCAGCCTGGTCTACAGAGCAAATTCCAGGACAGGGATACATAGAGAAAGCTTATCCTGTGTGTGTGTGTAGTGGGGGGGGGGGGGGTCAGTCATTCTCAAAAATCTATATAGGAAAAAAATGCTTGGAAATGACCCAATAGCCTCAGTTATAATATGAAAAGATTACTAGACTCTGAGGCTAAGATCAGGTGTCACTTGAACAAAGGATTGAACAAAAAGACTGGCTACATCTGCTTTTCTAGACCACAATACACTTGGGGAGATTTGGTTAATTCCCTCCTCTGATGAGTTAAGACTGGAAGCAAGAACACACTGAGAAGCACCCTTCCTCAGCCCTCTCATGGAAATGGCAGCAGTCCATGGATGCACTTACCCAGAAAAGAACATGTTTGACCAGTCATATGTAACTTCTCTGTCCAGTACTCAACTACCAAACCAACACACAACACTGCCTTAATGCAGACTGTGCCTTCATTTGACAGCCAGGAACTGAGCACAGCTTCCTTGGCCTGCAGATTGTACCTGCCTGGTCTCCACAGAGCAGCACTCCTAGTATGTGCTCTCACTGCTCTCTAGCCGTGCTTTCCCTTAACACTGCAAGTCACCTGATCACTCTCTGGAGAAATAACAACTCGGGGCCCAGCCACTTCTTTCAGAGTTTCTTTCTAGTGTCTAGGACAGCTCCAGGTAAAACAATGTCCTCTTCTTGCCTATGGGTGTGAGCACATACCCACAAAAATAAAGCAGGGTATAGTGCCACACCTTTAATCCCAGTACTTGGGTGCCAACTGAGCCATTTACCAATCCCCAAATTTCCCATGTGTATACCTCTACTTTCTGAATTGAGAAAGCCAAACACAACTCCCTTGTGCAATTCTTGTTTTAATTTTTTAGTGATTTCTTTTTATTTTTCATGTGCTTTGGTGTTCTACTAGCATACATGTCTGTGTGAGGGTGTCAGGTCACCTGGAACTGAACCATGTGGGTGTTGGGAAATAAACCAGGGTTCTGGAGAACAAACAGTGCTCTTAACCACTAAGCCATTTCTCCAGCACCGGAAGTGTTTTTGTTTTGTTTTTTCCAAACAGAATTTCTCTGTGTAACCCCAGCTACCATGGGATTCTTTGTAGACCAGGCTAGCTAGCCTCAAGTGCAGAGATACACCTGCCTCTGCCTCTTCCTCTCAAGTGTTGGGATTAAATACTCCTTATGCAATTCTTATTCAACATGCATAGACTACTTTTAACTAATTCTAACTACTGTTTTTAAGGAGAGGAAAGCAGCAGCTACTGTTGAGAGCCCTACAGGTAATATAATTCCTCAAAGACTATCACCCTCAGAAAAGAAAACAAGAAAATTTTCCAAGAATCTTCAGAAAATATAAGACCTTGAAAAACAGCTTTGACACTCAGAATGGAAAAGCAGAATCTACTACAACAAATACCACTGGTGACACACACCCATGATCCTACCCTTTAGAGGCTTGTGCCCTCGCTGAACAATGAGGCATAGCCTCAAAATTATACATATAATGCCAGGCGGTGGTGGTGCATGCCTTCAATCCCAGCATTTGGGAGGCAGAGACAGGTGTATCTCTGAGTTTGAGGCCAGCCTAGTCTACAAGAGCTAGTTCCAGGACAGCTCAGAGAAAGTCTCTCAAAAAAAAAAAAAAAAAAAAAAAAAACATAAACACAAAGCTATCAGATAATATCAAAATGTGTTCAATTGTAGATGTGTCCAATAGTAGAGAGCCATTCTAGCAAGTGTGAGACTCAAAAGTACATATATTAGGGGTTGGAGTGAAGGAGTTAAATAGTAAATGTTGCTCTTGCAGGACCCAGGTTCAATTCTCAGGAAAAAGACAAAGCAGTGAGCACCCAATTATAAAAGATTTCCTTCCTACCACAAAGTTACATTGACACAGCACATAAGGATTGCTAGCAAAATATGTGCAGATAGGCCCCACCACTAACCAACCAAACTCAGTGGATAAAGAGACCTAATCAACTCCCACACAACCCAATAGCACAACAGTCTGTCTACCAGAAACCAAAAGGGACAATTGGTAAACAAAAGCAGCAGGAAAACCAACACCTCTTCCTCCCTACTTCAATTAAGTGTTACAGGGTTGTAGCTGCAAAGGATATGAAGCAGCATTTGGGGGTATACAGAAATGGTTTCTCTGTGTGGCTTTTGTAGGCTGGTCTCCAACTGACTTACAGAGATCCGCCTGCCTCCACCTCCTGAGTGCTAGGATTTTAAAGGTGTGCAACACCACAGCCCAACAAATGCTGTTCATCTTAAATGAAGAGTGCCCCTTCAGCTAAAACAATCTGGGAAACTCTTGACACTTTGCTAAACCTGCCAATTTGCCAACCAACAAACCCCTTGAAATGGACTCTGATTTAAAGTCAATGCCAGTTAACAATTTCTCCACAGGCTTGACTCACTCATTTCCACTTCTGCCCTATGTATCATTTGAAATCACCTAATGTAAGCTCAGGAACTCAGAACTAAGGCCTCCCAGTACCGTCAGTATTTGAGAGTTCTCTGAACTATGCAAATCTCTTTCCTGTCTTCTCAGGTCTGCCTCCATAGCTATTCTCTCACCATCTATCTCTCCATATAGAACACCCTGAATCCCAACTGGAAGCCTCACCCCAGTAAACAGGCACATGACTGTGCAAAGTAGCCACTTGGATCCTGAGCTCGTTGTCTCAAATAGAACATGAACAAAACTTAACTCTTGAGCCTCCCCATTATCACACAGCATGTCTGTCTTTAGCAAATTCTATCTTCATTGCCTCACCAATGTTGTTACACCCACCACAAAAGCAAAGAATTTATTCACAAATAGTACCTATTACTCTTCCCAAAATCTCCAGCTCCTCTCTTCAGCACAGTCCACAGCGTTTATTCCTGCCTCTGGGCCACCCTCTTCTCAATGAAGACAGAGACTCACAAGTGAAATATACTAGACAATACCAGTCACAAGGGACTCTACACTAAGTCAACTGTGAAATTAAGAGAACAATCACTAATTGTACTAACTAGTGTCAGGTATGAGCAGGAAGGAGTTAAAAAAAAAACAGCACATCGAAGAAAATTTAAGAGCTCTCCCAACTTGTATAAAGTTGTATAAAGTTGGGAGATGTGGTTGGTAGGAGGATCAGATTTAGGGCACAGTCTGAAACTTAGGTTTGTAACCTATCAGAGAGACATGTGACCCTGTCTCAGAAAACAAAGAAATGGAAAAATGTCTTTTGGTTTGTTTTGAGTTTGAGTCAGGAGTTTCTCTGTGTAGCTCTAGCTGTACAGGAAATCTATCTGTAGACCAGGCTAACCTCAAACTCAAGAGATCCACCTGCCTCGGCCTACTGTATGCGCTAGAACTAAAGCTGTTTGCCACCACTGCGTGCCAACACTTAACTATAAAACTACCATACAATTCTAGACAAGCATCAACATTAGCAAACAAAACTCAATGTACATTTGCACTACCAAAAATGTAAGCTGTAGTTGGGGTGTGTGGTGAAGCACACCTTTAACCCCAATGCTCAGGAGGCAGAGGCAGGTGGATCTTTGAGTTTCAAACTCAGCCTGTTCTACATTATCAAATTCTGCAAGCCAGTCAAGGTTAGATAGGTAGTCTTTCTCAAAAAATAGTGATGGAGATGACCAAAATAGGTATTTTTTTTTCCTGCTGGCAAATATTTCTACTATGACAGCACAACCAAATCATACTGTAAAAGCTTAGGAATCACAAGTTAGCAAAGTTATTTTAAAAAGCACACAGTGGCACACACCTTTAATTCTAGACTGGGGAAGCAGAGGCAGGCAGATCTCTGAGGTCTAAGCCAGCCAGAATAACATGGTGAGATCTTATATCAAAAAGAAATTTTAAATATAAATAAATTAAGCATTTTGCCAATCGAACAATTCCTCTGGATTCCTGTCACATTTCTACTGGGAGGCATCCAACTACTTGGGAAAACAGCATGTCTGTCTTTAGCAAATTCTATCTTCATAACTACCAAAAATAAGCCAAAACAAAGGTCTCCTGAAAAATACCTAACAAGAGTCAAGATATTATTCATGCCCTTTCCTCTCATCCTGAGTCTCTCTATGGATCAGGTACCTTGTCTGTTCCTTGTGCTTTAGGTTTAGTGGGTATCTGATCTCAACTCTTCAGGTACCAAAGCACCCACATACCCAAATTGTGACCATTTAAGACACTGTTAGAAGTTAGGCATGATTTATAAATAAACAAATAAATTTTTAAAAAAAGTTAGGCATGATAATGCACATCTTTGATCCCAGCCTGCACAGGTGGCTCTCTGAGTTGGAGGCAGCCAAAGATTATAATTAGATTATCTACTCTTCCTCCCCCCTACCCCCGCAAAAGGACACTGCTCAAACTCCCCTGAAGGCAGCAGCACCCAACTAAGAACTTCCCTGGTCGGAAAGGATGCCCCCCGACCCCCAGACAGTGGGGTGATAGCCTGAGGCAGGTGGACAGTTAAGAAAGAAAGTCTTTGGGTAGGCTGTAGAAACTTCATCATAACACGAACTAGTGGTAC